TATGTATGTATGTATGTATGTATGTATGTATGTATGTATGTATGTATGTATGTATGCATGTATGTATTTACAAAAGAGCGCTGCAGAAAAGCAAACGGAAAGAGCATAAATCAGTTAAAAATGAATAATGTTCGATTAAGTCTCGAAAAACTACTTAGAAACGAAAAAATGCATAATCAGTTTCTTTCAACTAGTAACTCAATACGGTATTTATTTACTTGCTAACATTCTTGCCAACAATCGTGCTTTACTAAATCCACTTGAAGCGACACACTCTTCGGTAAATTGGAGGAAACAAGCACAGAATGGTGTGAAAAGTTAAATCGGCCATATAAAGTAAGACTTAGAAAAACAGATGCAGCACTTAAAAGTAGGACAAAAATAGTAGTGAGGAGTGGTGCCACATCGATTGAACATAAACTTGGTCAAGGAGATTGCCTTCATTTGTCACTTTGATGAGTTGTAACTTTGTGCTAACGATGGCGCCTTTCATTGACAATGTCAGCGAAACGTCTGATAATGTACCAAGTCAACTATCCGATGCTGGAAACCATGAGTACTATAGTAAATGACGCAGGAATAAGTACGCTTCAAAAAGTCTACATTTTTCCCCGACCAAGTTGTGAAAACGAGGTTAATTAACACTGTACAGCTCAATGAGACTGCAACCAAACAATGGCCCCAGTATATCGATCTCCATTACTACAGTATGCAATTTTGCTTATCTTAGTAGCCTTTTGATCTCTACTATAAATCATGCCTTCGAGCCAAGCAATAAAAAGCTGATAGATTTGGTTCAAGTAAGTCTGAAAGTGATTCAATTTGATTTGTTATAAATGGAGGAATAGTGGAATCACAAGATTAAGTGTATAATAACGCTTCATTTGACATATAGAATATATGTATGCATATTGCAAGAGGTAAAAGGTAACGCTAGGGTCAAGAACCTGATACGCAGAGCATTAAAGAGATCAAGTGGAGACCAGATATAAAAAATATGAAAGGCCAGTGAGAAGAGATAAGTTAAAAAGTCTGACAGAATAAGACCGATGAAAACAAGCAAAGTAAATTAAGCTATGTATTGACCCTATGTCACATAAGGTGGTAAATAAAAGAGTAAATTTTTTAACAATTATATGACCAAACATCACGATATCGGTGAATTTAAGTTAGTCTTGTTTTCCGAAGGGTATTATCATCCATAGTGGACTGCAGTTTCAATTTCGCCTAGTTTTCTTCAGCAACCCAACGGGAATTTAGTCAAGGTAGTGCAGTGTATAGTTTCAAAATACTGTCACTAATTCGCACTTCAATGGGTTGCAGAGGGTCACAGAACTGACTAGAATCCATATTGCACTTATAATGGGTGTTTCGAGGGAGCAAACTTATGTTTGATCATTGCATTCGACTACATTACCTCTATTCATTATAAATTCTTATTCGAAATCTACAAAGAGTTTGTCTCATTGGCAGTTTCCCAATAAATGTCATATGCAAGGGTCCAGCCTTGCCCTGAAATTCAAAGGCAAGAGCACTCATGACAGTTTGTCCAAGGGATAAAATGTGGTTCGAGTATGGCCGATAAAAGTCAAGCGAGACAAAATTGCAGTCTATCCTGGACCATTATATCCTTAAGAAAGCAAGACTAGATGAAATTCAATTGTAACGTTAGGGAGACCTATATAATTGCGGGACAATTCCTTATTTATTGATGCCAGGAAGAGATAGTAGTCTGTATTCTGCCGAGCCCAAGCATCTACTAGGTCCGAAAAAATCAGAGATGCTCAAAGAATAAGCAGGACATAAATATAACTTATAGTTAAAATGAAATCACTAAAGAACATAAGAATACCTTTAGGGAAGGAAGGCTATGTAAAATTCAATAATAATGTATGGCTTATTAATAATCGTAGAAAAAAATCAGCTATTAGTAGTTATTCAAATCTTTATGCGATCTAGGCTAATATGCTGGTAGTTTTAAAACCTACTTAATACTATCATAGATAGAATCCGAAAAGAGAAATAATGATGTAATTTTAAAATAAATCAAATATCGATCTTTGCCTGTAAGGATTGCGATAGATGAACAAAGTCGGCCTGCACGGATTCGGCGTTATTCAATTCAGCTTGCAGAGTAGACATGCGCTCACGAAGGTCAGCTACTTCTGCCTCGGACTTTTTTATTTTTGCCTCAGCTTTGGTTAGAAGGTTCTAAGAATGAAATTGTGAGGAAGGCAAAAAGGAAGCGCCGATCGATAATACGAATATAAGGCTATATATCTCAGTCATTAAGAGTTAATAAAATTTAATTTATTAATATGCTCTCTACTCGTCTGAACAACATAGGTAAGATAGAAATACCGTTGGAAACTATCAAATAGTTAAATAATCCAATATCTAAAAAGTAGCCATAAATACAAAACCGTCGATTGCTTCCTTGAAAAATTTGTGGGAACTAGAGATGACCGAGACAATAGTAATCATATGGGAACAAAAAAGGTATCAAAGGTAAAGTGTATTGTCAGATTTTTAATAATTAGTGGCCTTAACGCAACTGAAAATATTAGCTCAGCTAGCCGCAACAATGTAGAGTTAACCGGTCATGTGTAGATAATAAAAAATGAGTCACGGAGCCCCCTGTATAGAGTAAGAAAAATC